CCTCACCCTACATCCTCTTGGTGTATGTATGTATGTATGTATGTATGTATGTATGTATGTATGTATGTATGTATGTATGTATGTATGTATGTATGTATGTATGTATGTATGTATGTATATATATGTATGTATGTATGTATGTATGTATGTATATATTTGCCGGAGTGTGTGGCCCCCCCGCCCGAGCGAGGAAAGGGAAGGGGATATCAGCGCTTTCGGGGTTGAGGAGAAGGCGCGAGTGGAGAATGTGTGTGTATGTGTTGTACACACACGTGTCTCACGCTCGTACGACAAATAGGGTTTATCCGCTACACCTATCTTCTCCTTCCCGTTCGATACCTCCCGCGCTTCACTCCCTCTCCCCTAGCCCCCATCAGAAAACACACACATACATATACATACATACACATACATACACATACACACACATATACACACATACATACACATATACACACATCTACACACATGTACACACATGTACACACACATATACACACATACATACACACACGCTCAGTGCCCCCCTACCTTGAGCTGTTCGTCTTCCACTGGTGGGCCCCCCGGGTTGGCGGCGGAGGCGGCGGAGATCTTGGCGCACGCCCACGTCACCAGCACCTCCTCCTGACCGAACACAGGCGGCGGGGCGGTGCCGGGGACAGCTCCGGAGCCAAGAGGCGCTACGGCTCCTGCTGCTGTCGCAGTAGCAGCAGCAGCAGTAGTGGCGACGGTGGCGGCGGCGGCGGCGGGTAGGCCCCCCGGGATGTTTTTGAGCACCTCGGCGATGCGGTAGGCCAGCAACCACTGGCGGTACGAGATCAGCCTTTTTCGGGGGAAGCAGGAGGAGGGGGGAGGCGGAGGAGGGGGGAGGCGGAGGAGGGGGGGGAGGCGGAGGGGGGGGGAGGCGGACGGGGGGGGGAGGCGGAGGAGGGGGAGGCGGAGGGGGGCCGCCACACATCATGATGTGATGACGTCATAATGGTGAGAGAGAGAGAGAGAGGAGGGAGGAGGGACGGAACCCAGACAATGGAGCTGGGGGGGACAGAAACAGCGAATGCAACAGTAACAGTAACGGCAACAGCGCTATCCTTGCAGAACCCCCTTCCCCCCCGAGGGGGCCCCCCGCACAGCCCCCTTCCCTCTTCTTTCCGTAAACCACCCCCCAC